TACAGATGACCCAGGAGGAAACGGTAGATGGAAGCATGTGCTGATTCATTCACCGCTTCTTCAAAAGCAAAGGTATCTCATATCATCAAGGTCAAAAGCAAAAGTATCTCATATCATGCTCTTTCCCTGTCCTTTTCTTTGTCCTTGTTCTTACTCGCATGGCAAAGTGAAAGAAGCAATCAGCCGGCACTTGGAGTCAGTCTTCCGATCTGGAACCAACTGCCTGGAATCCCTTCCCTGATTGCTTACCTAGCGTTGCTCTCGAGTAGTCATCTTCAACGGTTGATACACTTCCAGAGAAGGGACCACTTCTGCAAAGGGGAGCAAGTAAGGCAAGTGAAAATGATACATTGAAGCATGTGGAGACAAGCTGCAACTGCATATGCTGAGCTATCCTCTAACCCTCTTCAATACGAATTGGAAAGATTGAACAAAGAAACAGATAAATGGAGGAAGCTCAAGACCTTCGGGGGAGTCCAAAAGAATCCTGCTGCCCAGTTCAAGAGTAGCACAAAGGAAAATCAATGATCGGAGGAAACCAAAAGAATCTCCAGCTCAGTTCAAGAGTAGCCTGTGGAAAAACTCAAGATGAAGCCTCACTGCAATCACCAAGGAAAAGATGGAATTTACACTCCATAACCAGATTTGCATCCCTAAACTCTTCTCTTTGTTAGATACATTCTGCCATGTTTAGTATGTTTAATTGCTGTTTATATGTTTACTTGTGTTTAGTGTGGTTTTAAGCTTAAAACATTGAGGACAATGTTTGATTTAAGTGTGGGGGAGTTACTAAAGTGTTTTGATGCAAATTCGTAGGGTTTTATCCACCATAACTTCAAATGTTGTTTCTTGCTGTTTTTAAGTGTGTTTAGTGTGTTTTGACTTAAAAATTCGAAAATCACATAAAAATTTGAAAAACATGTTTTGAAAAGCCTAAAAAGAGTGTTTTGAGTCGTTTTTGTGTCGTAGGTCACCTTCCAACACAATGATAAGGATTTGGTTTCTAATTGCATGACTGTTAAAAAGAGTTATAAACATGGAGAAAAGTTTGATTTACTCTTGGTATATGCTTGGTTATGGTTATAATGTATGACTTCACATGCAATCATAAAAGAAAAAATCGTTTTTGTAACATGCTTGAAGGAAGGAACTCAAACAAACGCTACAACCCTGAGAGACTTGAGCCTATAACGTTCTTTGGAGAGTATAATCTGTGAATTCTTGTTTTCTAAAGTCGTTGCATGATCTCATTATTCTTTGCTTGGTTACTACTTAGAATGCGTTTCATCATATAGTTCCAAATGCTAGAACTCATGCCAATTTCATTCAAAGCATGTTATTGATTTGCATAACATATATCAAGATGAAGTTGTGTAGTTGCCACCATAGCCAAATAGCCTCACTTCCCATATTTCGTATATGTTGTAAGTTTTACCCCCGTTGAGCCGTGTTAGCCCATGTTCTTTGTTAACCCACTTTATCCTCACCTAACCTAGAATATGACCGTCCTTACCCTTGTTCTTGAAGCATAGTAAGCAATGAATTCTTTTTTATTAAGGTATTGCAGAAAATAAGTGTGGGGGAAAGAGTGTTTATGTAAGTTGATGTGCCATAGGCACGGCCAAAAAGGAAAAAAAAAAAAAAAAAAAAAAGAGTTGAAAAGTATTGTTGGTTGAAGTAAGGGCCCAAAACAATAAATTAGGCCCTAAGAGTTGTTGAATCTCCCCCTTATGTCTATAAGTTGATTTCTGCATGCCAAGTGAATTCTAAGCCTTAATTTCATTACTTTGCTTGCTATTGTTTAAAGAACTTTTGTTTATCCCTACCTTTCCTTGTGAGCCAATATCCCAAGCCCCGTTACAACCCTTGACTTCTATCTTGAGTGTTGTGCATTTCAATTGTGGAGTTTGAATTTGGTATGAGCATATGGTGTCACTGGTTCTCGCGTCTAAGTAGTAGCATTCCATTCATGAGATCATATCTAAACATGCTTATTAACTCCAGAAATTGCTCTCTTTGTGATATATATATGTGAGTGTTCGTTTTCATTAATCTTCTCACATATGACTAGATTAGGGTGTGTAGTTAGAAAATCTGAGTGAAAATCGAGTGCATATCTTGTAAGGAATTGAGCAAATTCTCTAAGGCATGTTACTACATTCAAAACATGGTTTTAAATGCTTAATTGTGAAATAGTATGTGGTGACTATGATTAAGAATGTACTTAAGTGTGAAGATGACTAAAATCTGTGAGAATGATGATTTTTAACATGTCATGTGCATTGGAAATCCCTAAGACGGTTGTTGGAAGGTTTAGGTTGTGTTTTACGTGTTTAGTGTCGTTTTGTTTATTTGTTTTTATTCTGTTTTGCTCGAGGACTAGCAAAAGATAAGTGTGGGGGAGTTTGATAGGAGCATATTCATGCGACTTAAATGGCTTGTTCTCGTACGTTTACGTTATGTTTCTCTAGTTATTTTAGTCTTTTATGCTTCTTTTGTGTGTTTTCAGGTTCTAAGGGCTTAGGGAGCAAGAAAGTGCATTTTGAGGCTATTTGGAGCATTTTTGTGCATGGATTGGATAGCTTATCCATGGAGCCAAGTAGATGGACGAAATTGAAGATCAAACCATTCACTTATCACTTCCATTCACTTATCACTCACCACATATCATTCATTTATCACTTAACATATCATTCATTTATCACTTAACATATCATTCACTTATCACTTATCATAACCATACATTTATCACTTATCATACTCATAATCATCTACACATTTCAACCATTTAAACATATGCATTTCAACTCACATGCACACCCACCTCTTTCCACCTAATCCACATGCTTTCACAACCTAATTCACATGCACATTCATCCACCTTTCTCCAAAGAACCGTGCACATGCAATCATTATTCATTCACTTTGCATTCCCTTTGCATTTCAACCCACATGCCTCTTTAATCATTCAAACATGCAGCCACATATTCATCATTAAGCCACACATTCACATACATGCACTCCCATTTCACATCCACTTCACCCTTTGCCGTGCACATCAACAATTCCAGCACCATTAACCCCTTTTTGCCATGCATTTCATACCCTTTCCACTTCCCACTTCATCATTATTCCCCCTACATTCCACCTAATCCACATGCCTTCCCAACAATATAATTGAGCCAACCTAGCTAACCCTACATGCATTTCTTTATTCATTCTTCATCACATGCATTTTCACCACCATTCACACACACATGCATCCTGAAAATCTTGTGTCGTGTATCTCCTTCAACTTTCCAGCTTCCCACTCCTTCAATTCAGCCACCATTCATTCTTTATTCCACATACACTCATCGTCACACACCCTAGCTATCATTCACATGCATTCACATGCATCACAACCCCAAAACCATCAAGAAAACACTCCATGCCGTGGCCTACTCACATTTCCAACACCTTCACATGCATTTCCCACCTAACATTTCCCCCTTTAATGCACATGCATTCCCATCATTCAATTACCCCATTCACACACCTTTTCTTCAAGCCTAACCCGTGCATTCCCTTGCTTTTCCACAATCCTATTCATCAACACATGCAATCACATGCATCACAAACACAAAGAACCATCCTGAAAACACATTGTCGTGCACCTCACATTGAAATTCCAGCATCTTCACATGTCTTTCCAGCTTTCCCTTTCATTTCCACCACTCATTCTTCATCATTTCAGCCACCTACATGCATTAATTATTAAACTCTTCATCATTGCAGCCAGAAAATCATCAAAAACTTCCCAAACACATGCACACACATGCAATTCCAGCACCAACAACAAGCCATGTCGTGGGATCCTTATGCTTTCCAGATTTTCACATGCTTTCATAGCTGTTTTTCCACCACATTCAAGCCACATGCATGCTTAAATAAACAGCCATATACACCTTCACTACTCCTATAAATACCCTTGCATTCATTCATTCATTCATCATCTCATTCACAACACAACACCCCTCAAACACATCCATTCTTCTTCCTAGCCGTGAGTTTTTCTCCCTTACAATCCAAACACCATCCATCCAATTCCATAATTCCCCAATCCATTCAACACACCAACAACATCCCTTAGACCTTATGCCACAATAAAGAGGAAGATAAGAGAGCCTAAACGTTCATACAATTCAAGTTTGAGTTGTTGGAATGTTTAGGCGTTTCTTTGATTTCAATGTTTAATTTCAATTCTCTTTGTTTTGTATGTATGAGGAACTAAACCCCCCTTAGCTAGGGGGTGATTCGAAATATATGTTTATGCTTGCAATATGATTTGAGTACTTCTAATTACGTTTCATAAATTGTGAATTCAATTTGTTTAACTATTTGATTGATAACCTATTTGTGTATGTTTATTGAGAGTTGACGCTTAATTTTCATGCACGAATTTGACGCTAGAATATAAGTGAGTTTCACGTAATAGTTATGAACTTATATTCACAAGTAGTGGAGGTTGCTTATAAACAATCGCGTTAAACATATTCTTGGCATAAGTTTCATGCAATCATAGTAACGAATGCCTCGTCAACACTTATAGTTTTCATGTTGCTTAATGATTCTTGCTTGTATCTCTATTATGCAATTCATGTAGGGAACTTGTGAGGAATGCTTTGGGTTGTCGTATGCAATCATCCAATTCATTAACTTAAGGAAAACTTGATGGTTAATTTAAGCGGACCTAATTAACCCGGGGCGTTGAGAATTCATGATTTATTGAAAAGCAATTAGATTCGTTTTATATGCAAGTATAACATGTATGGAGATGAACCCCTTAGCTAGCCATCCCATCCATTTATTTCCGTCACATTCATCTTTATAATCTGTTTTTATTTCCAAGTTTCCATTTTAGTTTAAACTAGCAAAAGAGCCCGCGCATTGCTGCGGGTTTACAATTCTGTTTAGACATACTAACAACAATGTTTACATCTCTATTTACACAAATATACTATTCAGAACTTCCGACTCTCTTCATTGAAACTTCAGAGGTTTTTTCCCCTTGCTTAGAAATTGGAATAAAACTAATTATTGAGGTGATTTTTTTAATTGCTAAAAAATTGGATACTTTCTTCAGTTAGTTTTCAAATACATTTACTAAGAAATGTCAAAAACAAATATATGCTGATCTCCAAATTTAAGTACGCCATGAAGAGAAAAATAATAATTACAACTTACACATGTTATTACGCAAACAAATGAGGAGAAAGTACTCTTCAAATTGCTAATCTCACATTTTCCTCTAAGCTAACCACAATAAACTCTTTTACCACAATTCTTAGCCTGCAGGTATGAATAAAGGTTAGAATTCACATGTTATAGTAAACAGAAATATACTCTCATTCTGCTAAATTGTGAACTGAGAAAAACAAATGCCTAGATGTAGGAAAAGATTTATAAGATCTTAAAAAATGTAAAAAAAAAAGGGTAATCATCCTCTTATAAATGTTTTATTATACTTTGTACCCGACCAAACATTGCATCTGTGTGTTAAAAAACATAAGGATAGAACTTGAAGTGTTCTTAAAACGGAAACCCAATTGCTTGATGTTTTGAGGCTTCCAACTCAGTAGTCATTGCAGCAAATTTGGAAATGAAACAACGACATCTTTCGAACCACAGATATTATGAATTCTCTATAATTGGTGCAAACTTCCCTATATAAATAATAAAGACAAATGCATAATCTTGAGTACCTTGTATACAGTTCCAAAACCGCCTCGACCTATCTTATCACTCGGATGAAAATTATCCGTCGCGGATCTTAATTCATTGTAGGAGAAAGCCTTGATATTTTCCAGCATATTCTCTATGCAACACACAAAACAATCAATCAATCACAATAACAATGATGATCCAACGGAATCACATGTACAAAAAACCCAGTCGGAGGTAAAAAAAAAAATAACAAAACCAGAAAGTGGGAACATTTAACCATGTCCGTACCATCAAGATCATGACCAAATCGACCAGAACCAGATTTCCTTTTCCTCTCAGCAACCAAAGCACCAAAGCAGCTGCAACGCATATTAACTTGTCCACAATAATCAAATCCTACCTTCTGGGTTCTCTCAAATGTACAGAAAAACAGCTCCGTTCTGATAAGAGAGCCCTCCCTAATCGGATTTGGACCAACCCATGTTGCCAAAATCCTAAATTTCACAACCAAATAATCACAAAAATTTCCTCAAAACACCAAAAGTTCAAACTAATAAGATTTGAAAATTCGAAACAATCCACCTTGTGTATTTGCAGATTATCAATCAAGTTTTGATGTCCTGATTCCCTTTAGCATCTGTTTCTGTCAGCAACCATGGAGAGCAAGAGAGAGCTTGAAATTCTCTGTTTAAAATAAATATATATAAAAAGATGCTCTTTTATGCATTTTGGCAACATTGTTATAAATAAGATGTTGAAATTTAAGAGCATTATGTAAAAGATATTAAAAAAAAATTAAAAAATTAAAAACCCCATCTATTATGATCTCTGCATACCCCTGCTGTCTCGTAGGAGAAGCTGATGAAAAGTGGCAGTAGAATCAAGCAACCAAGTTATGAAATACAAATTTAAAATTTACCTATTTACTGTGTCTAATGAACCTGTGAAATCAAATAGTTAAACCCTAAAATGCACCATTGCAAATAGCATAAGAAAATTGAAATTAACCCTAAAGAAATTGGGAGAGAAGAATATGAAGGGAATACCTTTCGGCCCTTTGAGTTATTGGAAAAAAAACCCAACAGAGCAAAAGCCTCCAACTCCAAAGACTGTTGTGGGATTTGGAAGGGAGCAAGCGAGAGAGAAAATATCAGAAGAAATAAGGCAAGAGAGGGGGAACCAAAAGGGGGAAGAAGAAGCAACAAATGCGAAGAAGAGGAAGAAGAAATAAGGGGGAAAAAGGACGACTGAAATTAAGTACGCAACCATATACTTATAATAGCAACTAATCAAATAGAAATAAAAAAATATGGAGGAATCATATCGGTCACACTTACAAAGTATTGAAAGATATCGAGCAACAAAGTCAGTCTCACAGTTAAGTTCAATAATAGCAGCCTTGTTCTCATTCTGAGCTAGAGCCAGCAAGCCCTCAGCAGCCATCCGAGATGACTTTTTCGACGCCAAAACCTTCCTTCTCCTCCTCAATTCCTTCTGAGCAGCCTCTGCATTTCTTTAAACCAATTTTTTTGAAGCATCACTAAGTTTGACACCTGAATTGTAATCAAAGAAACCATGTTAATTATGGTAGGAACAAAATAAGATTCATTAATATGATTCTCTACATTAATATGATTCATTACATGAAAATGAGAAGAAAATTGGAACTTTACACACAAAAATTAAAAGAGCCATGTTCAAAAGAGTTTTCTAATTATCTCGAGGAGAGAAGGTCACCCAACATGACCAAAAACAATATTTCTTTTACTACAGCTATAGACATCAATTTCTATCTGACAACAAATCTTAAATTACATGGATAATATTTATGGTTATAAACTGAAAACACAACCTGACGTGATCCATTCGTTGATAATGCACCAATTTGAAAAGCAACCACACAGCTATGGTTATATTTTCTCTCCCTGTTCACAGACAACATAAACCCATTTGTTAGTGACTCAAATAAATAACATAGAGGATGAACTAAAGCTATAAAGGAAGACCACCTTCGACCTTATGAACATATCGAGGTAGAATTTCACATAATAAAAAATCCCTAATTTAGAAATTACCTAATCTTTTGCAGGATGAGGGTATGGTAGTGTTTTCGACGGCGGTGATGTGGCCGCGGTGGTCACGACGGCAGTGATGGGGTGACAATGGTGAATCGTGATGGTCTGAGCTGCATAACAGCCAACACAAACAAAATCCCCAAAAATAACAAAATGGAAATTTGAACACAAAATCCATTTGTAAATCCAAAATCACAAAAAAGAAATTCAAACAAAACAAAAAAGAAATTAAGAGAGAAACGGAGGAGAGAGAGAGATCGGAGTACCGTTAGTTAAAGAGTGGACGGCGTCAGTTCTCGGAGCACTGTAATCCCAGAAGATCTCTTCCGCCGTTGGCGGACTCGAGCCCATCTCCCTGTTACTCTCCTTCATCTCACCGAAGCTCTCGAGTTATAGAAATGGAGACCAGTTTGTGTGGTTTTGGTTTTAGGAAGCAGGAGCCGATGCTATTCCAGAGATGGTGTTGTGGCTGCTAGGGTTTGAGAAGGACAGAAACAGGAAGAGTAAGAGATGAGAGAGCGCTCACTTAGCGAGGAGATTAGAGAGCGCACGCGTGTAACCCAGTAATCCGTGCTAAACCAAACGGACAAAATTACCCTTTGAACTGTTAAGAATTACCCTCCCAACCCAGCCTCGTTTGGCTGGTATTGTTGTAAATAGCATGAAATCCAGTGGCTCCGTGCTAAACCATATGGACAAAATCACCCTCTGAACTTTTGAGAATTACCCTCCCAACCCAGTGTATGGCCCGGCACCCAAATCCCACGGACAAAATTACCCTCCTATCTTTTCATAATTACCCTCCAACCCAGCCACATATCAGATGGCTTTCTTGCAAATAAGGTGAAATCAAGGGGCATTTTCTTGACTGTAGCCATGAACAGGCCAATTCCCCTCCAACTTTAGAATAGATAATTCGTCCAAATCCAATCCCCCTTTATTTTGTTTAAGTTTTAGTCTTAATCTTTCTTACTTTTAGTTTAGCATTCTTCGAGTTTAGTATAGTGTTTTAAACTTGTTTTTACGTTTTTGAAGTCAAATCCAAGTGGTTAACAATCCCTCCTAATCCCCGGTCCAGAACGATCCCTACTTACGTACTTACTACAATTGACAAAAAGAGGGTTTAATTTGTGTGCGCATAAATCACGCATCAGTTACCATATATGTACATGCTTACCAACGACAATTTGGATAACAAAGGTCCGATCAGGGGTGCAACCTTCTCCGTCTTTTCTACCATCACCATGGTACCCCTTGTGGCAAGAACAAGTATAGTTTCCCTCTGTATTTATACATTTTTGCTTGCGTGTATTGAGCTCTGGAACCTCACATTCATCAATGTCTGCAAAACAACATAACCCATGCTCAGAAATTAAGCATATTATTTTAATTAGTAGTACTAATAAAGTGAAATAGAAATACCATAGCAGTCATTTAGGTATGGATTCCCTTGGTAACCTTCGTTGCACTTGCAGCGATACCCGGATCCATTCTCGACATCAAGACACGTTGCGTTGCCCTGACATGTGTAATTCGGCACTTGTTTCTTCTCAACAACGTTAGCGCAGGTCTCATTTCCAACCGACCAATCGAGTACCACCGGAAGTTGTGTATTTATCAAATAATCCGACCACAACATATTGGAGAAGAAGTTGAACTTGCCCCCTTGGACAACGAAGGAAAAACTGCAAGGATTAAAGGAGTACACATTCGAATGATTTTTAAAACTCGTTGCACTCACCTCGAAAGAAGTCATTCATTGAGCAATTGGTGTTTCACAACAGCCGATACCACTGCAGGAACCATTGGCAACGTAGTCAATGCTGCCACACACTGTAGTGCACCCACCAGTGTATCCGTAGTTTCCATTTTTGTCTCCCTTAATGTACCCATGGGTGTCACAACCAACTGCGACAAACACGTTTTCGGTGTTTGATATGAAGAAACTGGAAAGAGTGAGAAAATTGGTAAAGCCGTCAATCGGCTGGCCTGATTTTTCGTAACATTGTACGGCTGGGTATAGGGTAATGTAAAGCTTCCCATCTACGGATATTTTTGTGACATCAATCGAATGACTCTTTCTAAGAAATGGTTTTGGGGGGTCATAATGTGTGCTATTACAAGTAATGAGGAAATCCTCATTTAAGTAACAGCCCTCTTTTGTACCAAATGGATACGGGATGCTAACATTCCCACATTTGTCTTGACAACCCGGCTTGACTTCTACTTCACCGGGAGGAGGAGGAGAAGGAAGAGGTGGAGAGGTTAATTGTGTTTGGGCTGAAGTGGCTGCTGCTAATAGTACCTCTATTACTATTATGAGGATGATAGGTTGCAGAAGCATTTTTTGTTTGCTCATGGTCATGGCTTCTAAGTTTTTGTTGAAAAAATGAGATGTTTTGGTCCTTTTATTGGTAGGGAGGAGGAAGACTTGGAGAGGAAGAATTGGAGGGGAAGACTTGGAGCGGAGACTTGTGAATTGATTGAGCAAACCTTGGAGAGGATACCTGCATTACTTAGATATGACGTGTTATTAATTCTTTCATGGACGTGGTTCATTTTCACAATCGGACAAAATAAATATCATCAAACAATGTAAGTCTGACAAGAAAACATTACCTAGTACTTATGTTACACTAACTATATCTATGTATACGCTAACCATTACAACTCGGGACTGTAATTATCATGTCCTCGCTCTCTAAGGTTTCATTACGAGCCAACGGTCGGATCTCCGTTAATTGCTAAAACCAAGTGACGGTCAACATTTTATTTTATGAACTTACAAATTCAATTTGGGAAGATCCATAAATCGGATTCTCAATCCGTTGTGACGGTCAACAGTTTCTATGGTTCTCAAATATTACGTACTATAACATATTAAAGTTTGGTAACGATCCAACGATCAGATTGTCAATTCATATAATGACCTTTTAACGTATTGTAGAGAATTTAGGTTCCAACGATCAATCTACGTTATACGATTCTCAGGACTGAACTCCAGGCATCTTATTTATCCTAAACATAGCATTGACGGTCCTCTGGCCACGCGCCACCACGCGTCGCCGTGAGTGGTGGTCGGCCACCTCAACTTGCCAGAAAATTCAACTATTTCTAAAAATTCTCAAAAATTACAAAAATGAAGATCTCAATGAGAGGAATAACTTTCATACCTGCCATAAAGTCCAAAAGTGGACGGAAGATGGTCAATTTTGCCCACAAAGCTGGCTGGTGCCTAAAGCTTCCCAGTGTTGATTCATCGTCTACGGTGGTCTAACGGGGTCAAGGTTGGTTGGGTTTTGCTCCGAGGATGATGGGCTACAAAGCCCAAGTGGTGGCATCGGCCATCACATTGCCGTTTTGCCGGAAAAATCAAAAAGGGTAGTCGGAGCACCGTGAGAATTGTCAACTTGTGTGGCCTCAAACCGCCACATACAGAGGTTAATCAAGATGGTTCTTGGGTGGATTTTGTAGAGGGGAATGAGAGCTTCAAGATGGCGG